CTCGCACCCCCCCGCGGTCTGCTCCCGTCTGCGCTCCCCCCCGCTCCCACCCCAGCGGGAACCCAATCCAGGGGGGCACGCCTCCGACATGGTCAGGTGACTTTGCTCCGCGTGTCGCAGCGGCGGCCCTAGATCGGGGCATGCTCTTGGCGTGTCGGGGCCGCTCCGTCTGGATGGGGGCACAACTATTTGATGTGCTCGCTGTATGGAGTCAGCGGTCGAGCACGTGAATCAGGAGCCTCACTCGATGCCCTGCGAGCTGATAGCCTGTCGCTCCGCTCCTCGGGAGGTCGAGGGGGGCTCGGGCCCCTGACGCTCGGGGACTGGGACGTGGACAGCGTGCCGCGCCGGAGCGTGGTGGGCCAGAGCCGGCGGAGCGACAGGCGAAGCAAGCGTTCCTGCTCGTTCGTACCCATCGGGATCGCACTTTTCCCTTCGCGCACAGCCCACGGCTGCCACGATCACAGCGCGAATCAAAAGGTCGCGAGCCTGGATTTCACAACAGCAAGGATGGGGTCTGATCTCGGGGTGAGTCTGATTTGAGCGGTCTTGGAGGGTTCCAGGGGGGGAGGGTCTGTGCAAACGGCCGCTTGTTCATGGCTGGTGGGGGGGGCTAAAAATGCTCGTCCTGGGAATGTGTGACCCCCCTCCCTCTTATCACAGACTTTGGAGTCGGCTAACCGAGAACACCGTATAAGCCGACCTGCAAGAGGCAAGCTCATAACTGTGCTATGAACCGTGGCCCGAACAACTCTTCGACAGCGCAGGATGCGATGCGATGCGATGCGACCACCGTTGCGGACAGCGTCCGGGCCTAGAGCAGATCAGGTGGGTGAGGCCATGGCCTCTAGGATCTGAGGTGTCTGGATTTATGCAATGCGAGACATGTAAAAAGTTAGGAGGAGAGGGGGAGGAGGAGGAAAAGAAAGTCCTTGGTGTCGGTGTCGGCGCGGGTTGGGCGAGACGTCTCGACGTTCGCTGAGATTTTACGTCATTGGTCTGAGTCCCGGGTGCTGGTCGACGTGAGGTCGGACAGGAGGAGGCGGAGGAGGAGAGGGCCCAGGCCCCCCGGAGAAGCGAAGAGCGGACCCGAGCCCCCAAGAGAAGCACACCGCAGCGCCGCGGCAACCCGCTCGGGATCTCGGAGGACCCCCCCCACCCGCCGCCATCGTGCGCTGCCCCCTCTCCCTCATGAAAGTTAGGGGAACGAGCAATGACATAAACATAACAACTCGGAGGTCCGCGCGGGTTTCTTGGGTACTCGCTGGACCCCCCTCCCTGGCGCGCGGAGCGCGCCAGGGGCGCCGCCGGAGGCGCCGCCAGGGGGCCCCAGCGCCGATGCGAGAAATCCGCGCGGGCCTCCGAGTTTTTCCCTACCTAGGCTCTGCCTAGGAGGGTTCTTACCCTGTGCTTAAAAGGCCCGGGCAGTGGGGCTCGCCCCGGACGGTTCCCCCGGCATCCGCCCCGCGGTTCCCCCAGTTACGTCTCCTTAGCTTAGCATTGCTTATCTCATCTTATCTTGGCTTAGTTTCATCTTAGCTCAGCTTTATCTTAGCTTAGCCTACCTTCATGTTAGCGTCGCTGAGCGTTAGCACAGCAGAGCACAGCATAGCATAGCATAGCGTAGCATAGCATACCGCAGCACAGCATATCACAGCATACCCCAGCATAGCATAGCATAGCGCACTATATCATAGCATAGCATCGCATCGCATAGCATAGCGCAGCACATCACAGCACTGCATAGTACAACGCAGCATAGCCAAGCATGGCATAGCATAGTCTAGCATAACATAACATACCATAGCGCAGCATATCATATCATATGTAGCATAGCACTTCATAGCATAGCATAGCATAGCATATTATGACATACCGCAGCATAGCCTATCATATCATACCATATCACAGCTTAGCATAGCACAGCGCAGCATGACATATCATAGCTTAGCATAGCATAACATAGCGCCGCGTATCATAGCATATCATAGCATAGCGCAGCATAGCATGGCATATCATATCATATCATAGCAACTAATGCTGCTTTCCTAGGGGCTCCAACTTCTAGGTAGGGTCGCGCTGGAGTAATTATGTTTATGCCATTTTTAGTTTCCCCAAAAATACGCCTCGACCCCCCACCCTCGACTCGGTGGGACCTCCCACGCTCAAGCACGACTCGGAGATACAGCAGGGGGGGCGAGGAGAGGGGGCGTCAGACTCGACGATGGGCGGGCCTGGGCGGCCCCCTGGGGCTGCATCCCCGAGCCGCCCGTCCCTTCCGGGCGGCCGCTCCCTGGGGCGACACTCGGCACCGCCGACAAAGCACAGGCCAGCCAGCGGCCACTGTTGTTGCCAGAGCTCTCGGCATCTCGGGGCCTGCTCGGGAGGCCATCCCGGGGCCAGCGTGGCCCCGGGATGGCCTCCGAGCGCACCCGAGACGTGCCGCCCTGGCCATGGCCGCCGACGCAGCCCTCGGCACGAGCGCGGCAGCCCCCGAGAGGAGAGAGGCCCAGCTCCCGGGGTTGCTGAAGGTGCGCCTGGCCCAAGGGTGCTCCTCCTTCTCGCTCAACCCTGGAGCCCGGGGGGCCCTGAGGGCCTCGTGAGGGGTGCTCTGTGGAGGCCGCGGGGGCCTCCCTGGAAATCCTGGGGGCACCCTGGGCCAGGAGCACTTCTACCAACACCCCGCGCCAAGGAGCCGAACACGCTCCAGAGCCCTCCGACGGCGCGGAGCGAGGCCTGCCGCTGGTGCGGATGAGGCCGCTGGCCGAGATCCCCCCGAACAGGCACTCTCACCCCGGGACAAACAATGACATAAACATAGACGTTTGAAGGTCTGAGCGGGTGCGTTGCTCGTTCCTCATGTGTTGCTAAAACTTTACGGTCTGAGCGGATTTCTTGAATCTGTGCTGGGGGCCCCTGGCGCGCTCCGCGCGCTAGTGAGCGGGGCCTGGCGCCGACCCAAGAGACCAGCGCGGAGCTTCAACAGTTTAGGCGTGTGCCGCCCCTCCCTCTCCGACGAGCCGCGGTGAGCCCGGGGCCCCTCGCACGCCGCGGCGGGGCCCAGAAGGTGATGGGCGTGTGTTTTCCACCACCACCACCACCACCACCACCACCACCACCACCACCACCACCACCACCACCAACATAAGTTGGAGGGGGAGGGGGTCCTCCTCCTCCTCCTCCTCCTCCTCCTCCTCCTCCTCCTCCTCCTCCTCCTCCTCCCCCTCCTCCTCCTTCCCCCTCCAACTTATGGTGGTGGTGGTGGAAAACAAGCTCATTAGAGGGGCCTCCCAATTCTCGCCTGCACGCAGGACTGGCCCGGGGCAGGAGGGACCTCCGGCGCGCGGCCGTTGAGGGCCGCGGGGGGTAATCAGATCCAGGCGCGCAGAACAGCGCCGGGGGGGGGGCCTGCCCTGCACCAGAGGTCGCTCCCGCGAAAGGTCGCGTGCCGATGAGCTTCCCCCCCTTGACAAAGGCTGTCAGCGGCAGCATCGGTCGGCATCGAAGCGGGACATCAGATCGGCTCCGGAAGTGCGCCGGGCCGGGCTGCACGGGGGCACGGAGTCGAGATCGAACCGGATCGGCCGCGCCAGGATGCACAACAGCGCCATGCGAGCACGGGGCCGCGTCGGATCCACAGGAAGTCCGAATCGAATCGGATCGTCCCAGCCGGAACAGATGTGAAACCGTCGAGCTGGATCGATCGCATCGAGGTGGGCCCAGCGGGGGCGGAGTGGCGCCTCCTTGCGCACGGCGTCGACCTGCGAGTCCCGCAGAGCCAGGGACTGCGTGGTGGGGGGGGGGCCAACGGCGGCGAGACACCGGGGAGGTGAAGGGAACCAAGAGGCACCGCTACCGCCACCCCCTGACGAGCGCCTCCATTGAAGCCCACAAAGGGGAACACGTGGGCAAGGGAGCGGTATCGGTACCTCTTTCTCCTCCAAGTAGGGGCGGCGGCGGCAGCGGGGAGGGGCGGGCGCTGGGATGAGCGGTGCGGAGACCCAGACCTCCGACGTCGTGATTTCTTCAATACGGGATCCCCAGAAGTCTCGACCCATTCCCCAGGACCGGTTTTTCATCCTGAATCGTTTTTTGACGGTCACGGGGCCCGGCGAGGGCCCCTAAAGGCCGAAACTTGCGAAGAACGTCCGTCTTGATTTTTTCAAGACGTTGGATCTCTGGAGAGGCGGCGGCGGAGGGGATGCCGGCCAGCCGCCTTCGCGCTGCGCGCCGCGCGGAGCTGCGCGCGCTGTCGCCCCGGCCGCCCCGAATGCAGCGGAGAGGGGCGCAGGCCTCGTGCTGCCAAGGGGAGCGCTCCACGAGTGTGGCGAAGGGGCTTCTCTGGCCTCGTCCGCGAAGAAGAGATCCCCGTCCTGGGTCTCTGGTCGTCGTCGTCGTCCTCCTCCTCCTCCTCCACCTGCTCGAGAACCAGGGCCTCTCCTAAGCCCAGCGTGGTCCTTAGTGACGCGCTTCGACTGCAGGGGAAGCCAGGGGCGCTCGATGGGAATACTGAGCGGAAGTGGGTAAGGGGAGCAGCAGGACGGAGTCCAAGCTGCCATACAGATGTTCGGCTATTACGCATCGCCGACGCGAAGCCACGAAGGGCCACCAGATCAACAGATCGAATCCACTCACACCGCGTTTGAACCATTGCGCCGACGTCCAATTCCAAACGGCCATGCTCAAACTGCCTTGGTTCCATCGCTCTGCGCTCTGGCCCGAGCACGCCCCTGGAATCAATCCAGGCAGCTCCAGGTCTTGAAATTCTGTGCTCCCTGGCACTGCGCTTGGGCCCCTGGAGAGGTGCCGCCCTGGGAGGACCTCGGTTCGAGCAGGGACCCATGTCCGACACCCTACGCCTGGAGACCCCGTGGAGCCTTGAACCTCGTGACGGACATCTTTCTGCTTGGGGAGGGGAGGGGGAGCGCGCGCCCACCGAACCTCACCACGGCGTGGCCAGCACAGTGGCGCGAAACCGCCGACCGCCTGCCAACGAGGAGTGCTGCACGAGCCGACCTCTCCCAGGCAAGCTCGTGCCATGAACCGTGGCCTCAAAGAAGCCGCCTGTCTTCGAGGGTGCACGGGCAGGGTCCAGGGCCAATTGTCAGCTCGCGATGCTCTCTGCTGGCGGAGCGCACGAGGGGGGGGGCCCCGAGGGGGCGGCCTCCTGAGAAGCCGGGGGGGGGGCTTCTCAGCGTGCTCGGGGGCATCTTGGAACATCTCGGAAGCCCTCCTGGCCTCCTCAAAAGGCCACCCCGCGGAAGCCGCCCCAGGCACTCCGGAGGAGTCCCCCGTGCCTTCTCGAGGAAGCCCTGCGGGCTCCGCAGCAGGCCGTCCCCCCCCGCGCCATCCCCCCTGGCTCGGGTGCCCATGAACGGGGGAGCATCGCACGTGGGGTGGGCGACGATCAAGAACGGGTCTCGCGCCAGATGACATGACGACCTTGTGCGGCGGCTTACGCGGGCCGCTCGAGGCCGGTCTCCTGCAACCCTCGATACCTCCATGTTCCTTGCCCACCCGTTGCCGTCCACACTCCTCCCCTGGTGTACGACGAAGCCAGGACAGGGACGAGATCGGGCAACAACAAACAAAAACTGAGTCGGGGATCTCTGAGATCCGGCGGTTCTGGAGGGTGTGCCGGGCGCCGCGGCCTTCTCAGAGCGCCCCTGAACGCTCGAGGAGTGTTCCGAGGCGCTCTGGAGCGGTCTATCCCGATCCCCAAACCCCCGACGCCATGATTTTCTCATACCATGGACCCCCAGAAGTCTCGACCCATTCCCCGCGACTGGTTTCTCATCCTGAGTTGCGAGGCGGGAATTGATCCACATCCACAGCCTGGGAACCGACGTCCTGGTGCCCCAGCGGGCGGTGGATATGAATATATTTTGGCCCCCGAGGGCCCGAATATGTCCATATCCACCGCCTGTGGAGGTCCGCGAAGATCGATCCCCCAGGCGGTGGATATGGATAAATCCCCGCCTCGGATGAATCGTTTTTTGATGGGCCCGAGGTCCGCTGAGGGCCCCCCGTCTGTTTTGGCCATGCCGCGAGGGGGTCTGGATCCCGACCAGCCTCCCTGGGGCGCGTATCCCACACGCTGGGCAGCCCGCGGGGTCGGCGGATCCAGCTGCGGCAGTTGCGACAGCGCCAGCACCGCTCGCAGCCCTCCCAAGGCGACGCGCCGATACATGACTACCTACCAGACCACACCAACCCAACCCGAAAACCCGAATTTCGGGTTGGGGGGGATATGGGCTCCATATGTGTTTTTTCGATGTTCCCGGACCCCCCCACACTGGAAATGGAGGTTAAATTGAGGCCTTCGGGTTGGGTTGGGGTGGTTTGGTGGGTGGTGAATACAACATGTGCGCACATCGGCGGCCAGTCTGGATCCGATAAGAAAGAAGCGAAAGAGCTTGGGTCGCATTTTGGCTTCATGGCTCGAGGGGGTCTGAGAATCCTATAGGCCTGCCCTTGTGCCGTCTTGCGGGCCTCCTGGGGGCCTCTGGGGCAGTCTTGGGGCGACCCGGGGGGGCTCGTGGGCCCGTCTCGGAGCGCCGGAAGCCCGAGAAGGCGAGACCGCTGAGATCCCTGGAAAACCTGAGCCACCCCAGGGCTTCCGGCCTCCCGGAGGCTCCGTGGGAGCTCTCCTGGGGCCTCCGCGGGGCCTCCTGGCCGTCGGGAGGCAGCCTGGGGCCCTCCCCGGGCAGCGGCGGGTCCCCCTCCTGGGGGCGCCTGAGGGCCGCGCGCCCTCGCCCCCGCCCGAAGCCGTGCGTGCCGCGGGCTCCCGGGAGGTCTCCGCGGGCCAGTGCGCAGCGGCCGGTGCCCCACGGCCAGCCGCGCGGGCCACAAGCCGCCGACCCTTCGGCTTATAATGATGCTCCACCCTACATGTAGCCTGTGGATCACCGGGAAGAGTCTCGAGCGCCCCCAAAAGTACAGAAACTCAAGGGTTCTCACGTGTCGGGCCCTGGGAGACACTCGCCCGACTCTGTTTCGACACTGTTTCGACACTCTTTTGACACTTTTCCAGGTGCTCGAAATTATTTCTGGGATGTGGTCCTTAAGCAGGATGGGAGCAACATAACCTTCGGCGTGTGTGAGACGCTGTCGTCGTCGTCGTCGTCGTCGTCGTCGTCGTCGTCGTCGTCGCCGGTTTCAGGAACGAGCAGAGCGAGGAAGCGTCGTAGCGAAGTCGATGCCCTCCCCTAACTGGGGCGGGGGGGGACACAGAGGCGTCGACACCAATCACCCACCCCTGCTAGGAACAAACATTGAGCTAAGAAACTGGACGTCGCTCGGATCGTTATCTTAGGCAGTTAGTCCAGGTCCAGATAGACGGAAGTTGTACGAAGAGAGGAGGCTCCGAGGAAACGCCCAGGGTCCAGTCCAGATCCTGCACTCTCTTGAGCGAAATCTGGAGTCCTTGATGCTCTGAGATGTCTGATGAGTGTATCAGATTTTCCCTTTCTGCTTCCATGTCTCCTGGATCCTCCGCCTCCCCTCGGGGCACCAGCAACGACATAATAACCACAGACTTTCGGAGATCCACGCGGATTTCTTGGATCGGCGCCGGAGGCGCCGCCATGGGGCTGCAGCGCCCCGATTCGGCAACTCCCCCCGCCCTCCCCCGTCCCCCCTGACAGACGCGCTGCGGGCGGCCGGCCGCGGCGGCGCGCAGAGGGCGCCGCCTGCGCGCTCTGCGACGCGATCTTGCTCAGCTCGTCCTGCCCAGAGGCGACGCCGATGCATCCCCAACGCATCCAGAACGCACAGGATGCGTCATCGCAATCTTACCGAAACTGGCAGCGCATTCGCGACATTCTGTGACGCAAGTTTCATGTGGCGGACTCCGGAAACACTGAATCCAAAAACGTGTTCATCTCTTGGGAACGCATCCTTTACTTCCGCCACCTTCCGCCGCCCTTCCGCCGCCCTTCCGCCGGCGGAGGCGGCCGTGTTCTACTTCCGCTGACCTCCCGACGAGGAAGAGATGACAACTCCTTCGATCCTCGAAGGCCAGGCCAGTTTTTGGAGCGCCCCCCAACGTGACGCACCCTATGCGTGGTGGCTGCGCCGGGGGGCGCGTCGCTGGCAACCTCACTGGGTGTATAGGCCGACGGAGGCCGCGCCCATCCGCCGCCGCGGGCCGGGCCGAGAGGCCTGGGTCCAGGAGGAGCGCCTCCTCTGCTGCGAGGCGGCGGGCCTCTCTTCCCTCAAGATGCCCCTGGCGCGCTCAGAGTATACTGGACTTCGACCCCTCCCGGGGCCCAGACCCCCTCGAGCTGCGGCAAGAATCACGACGAGAGAGCTTGCGCTGACTAGCTCTCTTCGGCCTCCGGGGCGGCCTTGGCAGTTACTGGGCCCCGGGGCCGTCCGCAAGACAGCTCGGGACGAGAAAGACCCGTCCCGGGGAAGGGGCCCAGACCTCTGGGGCTCGACGTCTGGGGGGTCTGGGGGCAGTGCCCTGGGCCGATCGGCCCTATGAGGCAGCGGCCCGAGGCATCTCCGGCGGCCGCGCGACAGACGCGTCGCACTCGAGGAGCGAAGGCTGCCACGCGGGGAGCGAACAACACGACGAGCATGACACCTCGGAGGTCCGCGCGGAATCCTGCGCTGGGCCGCTGGGCCCCGCTCCCTGGCGCGCGGAGGGCACCGCCAGGGGGGTCCAGCGCAGATCCGAGAAATCCGCACAACCCCTCGAAAGTGCATGTTTCTGTCATTGCGGAAGTGGCCCAAGGACCAAGGACACAAAAAAAAAAAAATACACACAAATCCCCGGATTCCCCCTATTTTCCATATCTTTTGGATTCTCGTTTCCCCCCCCACTTCCCATATACCCCCATATTTTCTGGGGAGTCGGCGATTAATTGCGTCTGTGTTTTCTCATCCCCTCCTCAATTGTTTGATCCCCGATATACGCCCCCTGGCTTGGCCAGGGAGGCATCTGCGCAGCCCCTTGGCCCAGGAGGGGCCTGGCCAGCGGCGGGGGTGGATGTGCATATACATATATTATACAAGTCAGTTTGCGAGTATATATATATATGTATATATCTAGTGTGTATATATATAGATCGATACATAGATCTCGTCGCAGCCCCGTCGTCCGCGAGCTTGTTGATCTCCGCGGCGTGCGCGCGGCGGAGCTCGGCGACGGTGACCTGTCGGGGGGGGCAAGGCGTCGCCGCTCCGTCGGCCCGTCGCCCTCGTCGTCTCTTCGGCCACCTAAGACGACGGCAACGACGACGACGAGGCCAGAACCGGGACGGTATCGGACGGGGAGAGATGGAGGATCTCTGAGCGCTGGCAGCTCTGGAGGATGCACCGAGCGTCGTGGCTATTCCAGAGCGCTCCTTCGACGGCGCCAGCCAGGGACCTTGGCAAGCTGCGCGATGCGGCGCGTAGCCAGCCCTGCGAAATCCGCGAGGCGGCCGCTGCTCCGTTGGAGCGTCCGGGAGCGCTCTGGAACGACGCGGGAATTCGGTGATTCAGGGATGGGGTCCCGAGGGAGGGGTTGCCCAGGATGGGAAGGGATCCATAGGTGGATTTAGATTGGTTGAGGCGCCTCGTCCTTAGGACACCATCCCTCAGGACCCCATCTTGGAACCACCGATCCTTGCCTCAGCCTCGCGCGATCTCCGGCGCCCCCTCACAACCTCCCGTCGTCATTTTTCCCGACGCGAGGGTGCGTGGGAACAGGTAGACTTTGCCCTCCAAAAGTCTGCGACGACGACGACGACTGCTCAGAGCCCGTCCGCCCGGAGCGGAGCCCGCCTGCGCGCCCGTCGGCACCAACGCAGCGGCCTCTGGCGCCTTGGCGCCAGCGGGAGCCTGTCGGGTGCTGGGGCGCGGGCCCCAGTCGCGTTCGCGGGCTTCAGCCGCTGGCGCTGGACGTTGAGGGGGAGCATGGAGGAGGAGGAGGGGGAGGAGGGGGAGGAGGAGGAGGAGGAGGAGGAGGAGGAGGAGGAGGAGGAGGAGGAGGAGGAGGAGGAGAATGGAGGAGGAGCAGAAGGAGGAGGCGGAGGAGGATGAGAAGGAGGAGGAGGAGGAGGGGGAGGGGGAGGAGGAGGAGGGGAGGTGAGGGAGGTCCTCCTTCTCCCCTCCACCTTTCTCCTCTGCTGCTCATCCTCCTGTGCTTCTTCACAGATCAACAGGCTCCTTGCACTCCAACATGCGAACTTCATGCCATGTGCGGCGTCACGCTCAGAGGGCTCCCACGGAGCCCAGTGAGTGCTAGGAAGGCCACCGACCTTGCTGGACGCTGTCGAACATTGCATGGACCTTTCGATCGGTGTCGGCCTGCACGATACGTAGATGGAGGGGCGAGGAACACGTGGAGAAGCAGAGGAAATAGAGATGGAAGAGGAGGAGGCGGAGGCAGCGCCACTCCATCGTTGTAGTCTTGCTCCCGCTGCTACCACTGCTGCCACCCCCCGCTTGGCTTGGAAATGCAAGCCGAAGCCGCGCCGATGACGTGGCGAAGGCGCGAGCGCGGGCCACAGAAAAAACCTTGCTATGACGGGGGGAGGGACGCCGACGACGACGACGACGAAGATGACCACGACGACGACGACGATGACGATGACGCAGACGCCGACGACGACAACGACGGCGACGACGACAACGACGACGGCGGCGGCGACGACGACGACGACGACGACGACGACGACGGCGGCAACGATGGCGGCGAGGAGGTGCCTGGGCGGCCTCGCCAGGCCGCAGCAGCGGCCGGCCCCGCATGGGCCCGCGGCTCTCCGCCGACCAGAGGCCGTCCCCGAAGCTCTGGGGCCTCGGCTGGGAAGCGCGCGCGCACGCCGCCGGCCCCTCTCGGGGGTGTTCTGACCCAGTAGTGCGACCGGGGTGTTCAGGCCCAGTAGTGCGACCGGCGCGACAAGGGGTGCGTCGCGCATTCGTCGCCCGCGCGCCGCCCGCGCGTCGGTCGCCACATGTCGCCCACGCACTCTGGGAGGCCGGGATTCGGGACAGAGACGCAAACCAGGGCCGGCGCACTGAACGCAACTTAAAAGGGGGGGGGGTCGTATTACTGGGCCTTAACACTCGGGAGCGTCCAACGGTCGAGAAGGAGACCGGCTACAGAGCTGATTGGCCCCTCAACGGATATCTCCGCCGAATTGGCGAAAGCAATCATAGAATGCTGGTAGGTCGACGAACAGTCTACATGTCCTGTGAAGATCCGACTAAACAAACAATTCTGTGGTAGATCGATTCAGCAGCCGAGCTCCTACTCGAAAGAGGGGGACGTCCAAGTGGGTGGTTCGCAAATCATGGCCCGAGGCATGTGCGCGGACCAATGCACAACACTTTCACGCGTGTTCCGTCGCCGCGTTATTCCTGCTGCTGTTGTGCCTGGTTCGGCCCAGCAGAGCCCTTCGGTTGCCTCGACCGCGGCCTGGTACCAGCCGCTGCGGCTGAAAAACGTGCGCAGACAGCTCGGGAACCAGGGGACGAGTTGAAAGAAAAATAATCATGTAATGATGAAGGGGCTATAAAATCCAGGGGGCGTTCATGCGCCTGGCCACGATACCCACCCCCTCTAAGCATCACCCCGTCTTGAATGCCCCCGACCTCACCTCCCTCAAGGGGAGACCGGGACTGAGACAACATCAGACCGAGATACAGTCAACCCGTATGGTAAGGATGCGGGATAAGGATGCAAGGGCCTGGGATGGCCATTTCGAAGCTTTTTGAGCACAACGCGGCCAACGAAACTGGCCAAGGATGGACCGAGGAGGCAAGGATGCAAGGGTACCCTTGGGAAGGTTGCCCATCCTCACTATGCGGGTTGACTGTAAATCGGTGGTCTCTGAGATCTGGCTGTTCTGGAAGATGCATCGGGCACCGCGGCCGTCCTAGGGCGTCCCGACATGCTCTGAAAGTCTTCCCGAACGCACTTGGGGTACCTGTCTCGGTGCCATCCCCGCCAGATCTCCTTACGAGGATGCATTGTTTTCGTTCTGTGTTGTTTTGCTTTGCCCTTCTCACTATACTGGTTTGCCTAAAATGTTCCGACCTGTTTTGAAGGACCGGAGGGGAATAAGCTTGCGCCGACTGGCGTTCCTCGGGTTCATCGGGTTCAAAAGGATGTATGTCCTTGTTTGTTTGTGAAGGCCGCCTTCCTCAGGCTCACTGGGTTCCCAAGTTTCCTTGATCTTTCTGTTGTTGAAGAGTGCTGTCGAGCAATCACGGGCAACGCCTAACATGCAACTCAATGCGAAACGATGCCAAACAACGCCGAACAATACCACAATACCAGCAGTGCCAAGCAGCACGAAGCAGTACGAAGTCATGCAAATCTATGCAAACCATTGCCAAGCAACGCGATGCAATGCTACGCATTGCAAAGCTATGCAACTCAATGATAAGCAATTCCAAGCAGCGCAAAGCAATGCGAAGCACCGCCTAGCAAAGCCCCGCAACGCCACGCAGTTCAAGACTACGGCAGCCAATGGCGCAATGGCAAGCAATGTCAAGCAGTGCGGAGCAATCAAACGACCTCCCTTCATTGCGAAGTTACTCACTCAGAAAGCACCCAGTTCCTGTCACCACCTTTGCCGTGGGAGCGCATGGGCGGCGGCGCAGCGGCGGCAGGCGACCGACTCTGCACCGTCCTCGGCGACCCTCCCAGGGCCCTGGCCAAAGCGAGGGTCCACCACCTCCGAACACAACCTCTGGGCCAATCGAAGCGCAGGAACATAGATCACGGAACAGCAGGGACAGTCCAGCCCGTGCCCATTCGAAAAGAAAGGGCGATCGAACGGCCAAACTCTCTTTTAGAACGTGGGTCGACCCCCTGCTTGAGCAGGAACGGGGACTTCTGGCGGGATCTATCGGAAGCCCCTTTGTGAGCACACAACACGCATAAACTCCGCCCTCTTGCTGCCCGAAGCGCCACAGCCGCAGCACCAGGCCACCGACCCAATTCCAAGCCAGAGCCTGTGCGACCTGTGAGCTGTGCGCGCCATGCGGCGGGGGTTGGCGCAGATAGAAATGTTGAAATACTAACTCTGCAGGGCCCTCTCTCCCCCCGCAAGTGGCGCACTTACAATGGTTGCCAAATCTCTGTATGGCATGCCCTGTGGGCTCGGGCGCAAGCTCAAGAATACACACAGACCCATTCTTCTTGTGACGAGGAGGCCGCACCTTGGCGGCATCAGGCAGCCCAGATATCCCAAGCGAATCCATCACTTCAGCTATGAGCATGGCGCTCTATCGAACCTTGGCGATCGCCTCTACACGGTGAATCCTAATGTAAGGATGCTCGGGGTGCCCATAGGCCCCCAACTTAGATAATCGGTCGGTCTTCTTGTCGCCGTGCCATGCCAGGCCAAGCCAGTCCCTGTGGCCTTCGTTCAGTCACTCCCCCCCCTCAGTCTTCTCCTCCTCCTCCTCCTCCGCCTCCTCCTCCTCCTCCTACTCCTCCTCACAGGCTTGGTGGCCCCATCGGGAGATCCACCGAAGGCTCCAGTTCGGGTTCACGTCGGCAGAATCTTCACACGCTTCGTAGTCATAGGGAGCTCCGCCAAAAGCTCCCATAGGAAAATTAGTTCGTATGGCGCGTCGGGTCAAGTCCGGCACACCCCTCAATCGTCTCGAGGCACCGTATGGAGCTCCACCGCAGGCCACAGTGGCAAAGCTCGAAGATCGCATGTTGCCTCGTGTATATTTCGGAAGATTCCTCGCATGTTTGGTGGCCTCATCGGGAGAGCTACCTAAGATCCACTTCCTGGATTCGCATGCCCCTAGTAGAAGCTCCATCGAAGGCCCCAGTAGCAGGGTTCGCATGGCGCCTCGGGCCCATTTCGGCACACCTCTCCCACGCTTCGTGGCCCCAGGGAGCTCCGACGAAGGTCCCAATGGCAGGATTCGCATGGCGGCGCCCCGCCAGGATAGGCATCCCTGTCAGTCCCTTTGCTCGTCCTCATTCATCTTCTGACTTGCCTCGCAATACTCGAAGCTGCATATGGTTGGGCCTTTCGCCAGGATAAGGAAGCCTTCGCAGCGGAACTGCTCGCCAAGGAAGCATCGAATGCCTGAAGAGATCCACATGACATGGTGCTCGCTATGCTGACAGAGAGAGAGAGAGAGCAAGGTGCGGCGTCCACGCTGCAGAAACAGCACCCGCTCGAACATGGTATTTATGCGCAACTCTCTGGCACAAGCATTCGCATGCCAGAACAAGCGGAAGGATCGAATCCACCACCTTGGAACTGCAAGCCAAAGCGCCGCCACGAATCCCTGCCATCTTGTGCCATGAACCAGCTCACCGGCTGCTGCCACGCGATTGGGTCCAAACGTGCTGCGGCGCCCGTCGCGGCACAGCCACTGTTTGTTTGTCGCAGCAGCGAGAGTCCTCGCAGCGTTCGAAGGCAGACGTGGGATTAATCACAGCGGGCGGCGCGAGGAGCGGAGCAGCCACACGCCAGCAACACCAGGTGAGGCGACGGCAGACGGAACCCCACGGGGCGGGGAGGGCGGATGGGCAGTGGGGGGCACCGCGACGTCCAGCGTACGAGCCAGCTGGGCGGCGGAAGGCGAGGCAAAGGGGCAAGGGGCCGACACGACGCGGGGGATCCCTATCGAATGGGGCAGGGTCATGGCACGTCAGGGCTAGAGCAGCAAAGAGGCTCCCAATTGAGTACGACAACTGTCTCGTGCTCTCTCGGGTCGCGGCATGCCGCAGCGATGTCAAACAAAACGTTGCAGATGCCATCGGCGTAGGCATTAAACGCTCTCTCTCTCTCTCTGTACACACGCTGGCTCTCGGCAGAATCCACACCGCATGGGGAACGCAAGCGGCTTAAGGCTTAGTAGCCCGAGCGCACGCGTGTAGAATGGGCTCAAGTCTGGGGATATCTACGCCAAGCTGGCAGCCAAGCCATTTCGCTTTCAATGGGCGTCTGGGGCCTCGAGATGGCTCCAAGACGGCCCGAGAGAGGCCCGAGAGGGGCCCAAGATAGCCCCAAGACGACCCCAAGAAGCCCAGAATGATGCGGCGCCCGCTGCGGCAAAGCCCACTCTCCCCCCAGCCCCGAACCCCGCCACGGGACGAGGCCCGGGCGCGCGGGGCGTCTGGCACTCCGCGTTGTCCGGCGTCGTGATCTCAGGGGGGGTCGACGACGACGACGACGACGACGAGAACGACGACGACGACGACGAGGACGACGACGACGACGACGACGACGACGACGACGACGACGACGACGACGACGGTGGCGGCGGCGGCAGCGAGGCGGCGGCGACCTCCTCATCCTCGAAGTTGTATGGGTGATTCGAGGCGCCCATCGAAGGTGTAGCTCGCTGGAAGGCAAAATAATCATGATGGGACTGCGCGGAATAATGATCAGCACGGAATTCCTCAAAAAACTAAGGAAGCCGACCGTCACAAAGCCTTTTGCAGGACTGGGGAGGGCGGAAGCCTGCTTGAGGACTCATGTGGTCCGCTCTGGAAGCCTTGCACATTCAAAAACAAAAATGACTCCTGTTGAGGGCCATCCCCTAACTAGTCTCGCCGAGGTTCCGCTGGCGAAGCCGCCCTGGTTTTGCTTCCGCCGGCCTTCCCGATCACTCGAAGCTGAGGCCCTTCTCGGAACGCCCCAGCGTGCGATTCTCACCGGGGAGAAGCCACCCTTGGAGGGAGCCGCCGGGCACCAGAGCGCAGACTTTACGTCTTCCCGCTACGCTGCGCCCCTGCGGTCCCCTGCTCGTCCTCGCGAGCCTTGGGAGACAGAGAGGAGCTTGTGCTGCCGGCCTCCGAGTCGCGGCCTTGCCGAGACACGCGTTCAGACCCAACCCAAAAACCACTTACCTTCTCTTCAGAATTCCCCATCTGTTCTGTTTGTTCTATCTCTCTCTCTCTCTCTCTTCTCATGGCCCGCGCCTCCTCCTCCTCGTCGTCATCCTGGATAGGGCCCAGCCGCGGCAATTAAGCCGCTGGCGGCTCTCCTCGCCTTCTCCTCCTGCACGCCCTCCTGTTCCCGCTGCTCCTGCTCCCTCCCCTGCTGCTGCTCCTGCTGTGCACTCCCCCCCGCCCGATCCCCCTGCTCCTCCGCGACCTGTCCGCGCGCATCCGGCCCACGCTCCCACGGCGGCCCACGACGGGGCGACCTCGAGCGGAGTCGGCACCGCAGCCGCCCGCGAGGCGCTCCTCGCCGGCCCACCCCGAGAGCGAGGCCACGGGGAGAGGCCACGGCGGGAGCGAGAGGGAGACGGCGAGGGAGCCGAAGCGCCAGCGGCGGCGCGCGGGGAGGGGCCCCCGCGCGCGGGGGCGCGGGGCGGAGAGGGGCGGGCCCGGCCCGGCCTTGTCGCGCGGCGCCGGGGTGAAGATGTCGAAGCGCTTCGCCATTCAGCCGATCCCCATGCGCCGCCGGCGGGGCGGGGGGGGTCTCTCTGTCGAGGCGCCGGGGAGGAGGGGAGCGCGCCCGCCGCCACCGCTCTCGAGCCGGGGGGGGCGGGGGGGGCAGGGGCATCTCGTCGGGGAGGAGCCCGGGGTGGTCTGGGGGGGCGCGGGTCGGGTCGGCCCGACGGGGCAGCCAGGTAAATGACGAGGCCAAATCTGAAATCGGACGCGGGCTCCCGCCGCAAGCGCCCCCCGAAGACTGGGCGGTCCAAACGCAGGGCGGGCCCGTCCAAAAGCATAGGCGAGCCTGGGCTCTGGCGAGCTCGGGTCTCGCGGTTCCCCGATCCGCGCACACGGGCGAGAGCCACCCGGATCCAGGAGGCCATCGAGATGCCAAAAACTATTGTTGTCCTAGTCGGATATTTGATGTCTGTTCGCTTCCCACACACGCTGGTCGCAGATTCGTCCACTTGCGGTCTTCGGTGGGAGAAGGTTACTTCGGGGCCTGGAAATTGGTGCCAGCACCAACACAGAGGCGTGCCTCCACCAGGGAAAGGGGATCCTGGATCTTGGCGCTGGTGGTAATCTCGCGGCCACCAAGCCCGAATATTCCCACCATCACCGAGCTCAGGATCATCTTCCCGCGGCAAAGGCGACCGCGGATACTAGTTCACCAGTGTTGGAGGCCTCCGGGGAGGTGCACAACCATGCCTCCTCCTCCTCCCCACAACCAGCGCCTCACACACACCCTCCTGTGGGAGGCCCCCAAAAGTCCCGGCAGGCCTCCGGAGGTCCTGGCAGGGGTCCTGGCAAAGGCCTCCGGGGGGCCACAGAGGGGCAACACATAACAATAATCCGCCGGCCCCCCTCGTGGGGCTACCAGGCTGTAGGACGAGTGCCTGCTGTTCCCTGCGCCAGTTCCAGGTTCCAAATTCCAATGTGATAATTTCTCTTTCTGCTTGCCGCGGTTAATTGTTACTGAACGCGCGAGGGGGGGGGAGCCGAAAAACGTCCAAACTACCACGCGCGTGCTCTGAATTCCTGGGGGGGGCGCGGGACACGTAAAAATAATTCAAATTCGCGCCCCCGACTCCATCAACCCTCGCACACAAAAAACACAATACTCGATTCCCCGAAGCCATAACCCCTCGCGAATTACACATTGCTCGCGTCCCCGAAGCCATAAACCCATGCAGGATACACCGTATCCGTGTCCCCGACGCCATAAACCTTTGTAGATTACACAATACTTGCGTCCCCGAAGCCGCACGCGCTTGTAAATCATGCAATACTCGCGTCCCCGAAGCCATTGACCTTTGTAATTTACACTATGTTCGCGTCTCCGAAGCCATAAACCCTCGCCCATTACACAATATTTGCGTACCCGATGCAATAAGCCATGATCAATTATTTCATACTCGCGTCCCCGAACCCATACACCTGAGCAACGCTATATTCGCGCATCCGAATCCATAAACCGTTTTAGATTACACACTATTCGCGCTTCCGAAACCATAAACCTGCGCGACTTACGCAAGATTCGCGACCCCGAAGCCATACACCTTTTGTAAATTGATTATACACTGTCCGAAGCCATAAACATTCGTAAAATATGTGATATTCCCGTCTCCGAAGCCAGGAACCTGCGAACAATTACGCTACATCTGCGACCAAGAAACACTACACCATTTTAAATTACGCATGATTCGCGTATCCGACGCCGTAGACCCTAGTAACTCATTCGATCCGAAACCACCAGCCCTTGTAAATCGCATTGAAACGTTGAAAATTACGCTCTATTCGCGTCCCCGAAACCATAAACCTTCGCACAGTACGCCGTAATCTCGGCCAGAAAACCATAAACCATCGCAATGTGCGATGACTAGCGCGCCCAAGCTCCTACACTCTGTCATATTACAATGTATTCGCGTATCCGAATCCATACGCCCTCGTAGATTACGCAAGATTCCCGTCTCCGAAACCATGAACCTGCGCGAATCACAATATGCGCGACCCCATAAGGCCCGTAAAGTATGCAATGGTCGCGTGTCCGAAGGCATAAACCATCGTAAATGATATCATCTTCGCGCCTCCGAAGCTACACACCTTTTTGTCAATTACGTTACACCTGCGACTCCGAAATCATAGCCCTTTGTAAATCGCGCACGATTCGCGTATCCGAAGCCATCAACCAAAACAAAGTACGGTATATTCGCGTCTCCGAAGCCATCAACCCTTGCGCAAGTACGTCACATATTACGCTACATTCGCGTTCCCGAAACCATAAACCTTTGTACATTGCGCTACAATCTCGGCCAGGAAACCATAGACCCTTGGAGTGTACGGAAGATTCGCGTCTCCGGAGCCAAACACTCTTTTGAATTATGCAATATTCGTTTCCCCAGGCAATCAATCCTTGTAGGTTACGTTAAAATTGAACTATACTCGCGTCCCCGAAGCCATACTCACGCAATACTCGCGTCCCCGAGGCTACAAACAGATTTTGTCACATGTCTTGAAATTCGGCGACCCCCCTCACGCAGATCGGCGGGGTCAGGGTCCAAAAACACAAAGGGTTTGCCACATTTCTGAATTTCGGTGGCTCTCCTCATGCAGATCGGCGGGGTCAGCGTAGAGAAGCACATAGGATTTGCCACATGTCTTGAAATTCGGTGGCAGCAGATCGGTGGGGTCAGGGTCAAACGTGATCGACCCACGAACCCGGAAAGGAATATAGAAATGTAAGGCATGGCGGCGTTTCAAAGACACCTGATTGGACGACGAGCAAATTCAATGCTGAATGTATCGATCTTGATTCACCGTGCCGAGGGCTATGCTGTGCTGCACCGTGCTGAATGGCAATGCGTCATGCCGCGATTGTGCTCTAAAGCGTTGTGGATCGAGTCCTCCTGTGCATCCGAATCCTGACCGAACTGATCTGGATCTTAAGCTCGAGCTGCCTGAGCACATAGTAGCTGCCCCAGAGCTAATTGACAGGGGGACATGCCAGGAGGACGCGCCGCGGAACGTACCAAGGGACGCGCCAGGCGACGTGCCAGGGGAAGTGCCATGGGGACGCACCACGGGACGTGCCAAGGAGACGCGCTACGGAACGTGCCAATGGAAGTGCCGCGCGACGTGCCAGGGGGACTCGACACGGGACGCGCCACGGAACGTGCCAAGGAACGTGCCAGGTTGCAATGCTGAGTCCATCGGTCTTGATGTACCCTGCCGAAGGCTGTGCTGTGCTGCGCCGTGCTGAATTGCGATGTGCCATGCCGAGAATGTGCTCTATAGCGTTGTGGATCGAGTCCTCCTTTGCATCCGTGTCCTGACCGAACTGATCTGGACCTTAAGCTCGAGCTGCCTGAGCACATAGTAGCTGCCCCAGAGCTAATTGACAAGGGGACATATGCTAGGAGGACGCGCCGCGGAACGCCCCAAGGGACGAGCCAAGCGACGTGCCAGGGGACGCGCCACGGGGACGCACCGCGGGACGTGCCAAGGGGACGCGCTACGGAACGTGCTAATGGAAGTGCCACTGGACGTGCCAAGGGACGCGCCGCGCGACGTGTCAGGGGGACTCGCCACAAGACGCGCCACGGCACGTGCCACATTGTATGCTAAGTGTATCGATCTTGATGTACCGTGCCGAGGGCTGTGCTGTGCTGCGCCGTGCTGAATTGCGATGTGCCATGCCGCGATTGTGCTCTAAAGCGTTGTGGATCGAGTCCTCCTGTGCATCCGAATCCTGACCAAACTGATCTGGATCTTAAGCTCGAGCTGCCTGAGCACATAGTAGCTGCCCCAGAGCTAATTGACAGGGGGACATGCTAGGAGGACGCGCCACGGAACGTCCCAAGGGACGCGCCAAGCGACGTGCCAAGGGACGTGCCATGGGGACGCACTGCCGGACGTGCCAAGGGGACGCGCTACGGAACGTACCAATGGACGTGCCACGTCATGCTAGACATCCGCATGGGCGAACTGGACACGTGAAAACAAGTGGTTCGCTCGAGACATCCTCAACACATCTTCATGTTAGACGTCCGTTCCAGGCCCCCAGGAAAGCCTCAGGAGGCCCATGTTAGATACCTCCTAGGTGGCCTGGACACGTTAAAAAACCTGGCTCCTACCTGACCTGGACACGTAAAAACACGTGGTTCCAGTTCGGGACAATCATGTTAGATACCCCCTGGGGTGGCCTGGAAACGTAAAACACACGTGGTTCCAGCACATGTTAGATACCCCCCTGGGTGGCCTGGACACTTGAAATCACGCGGTTCCAAAACCGGACCACCATGTTAGATACCCCTCCTGGGTGGCCTGGACACTTGAAATCACGCGGTTCCAGCGCAGGACCACCATGTTAGATACCCCCTGGGTGGCCTGGACACTTGAAAACACGCGGCTCCAGCGCAGGACCACCATGTTAGATACCCCTCCTGGGTGGCCTAAACATGTAAAAACGCGTGGTTCCAGCTCGGGACCACCATGTTAGATACCCCCCTGGGTGGCCTGGACACATGAAAACACATGATTGCAGCTCGGGACCGCCATGTAACCCCCTGATGGCCTGCACACGTAAAAACTTGTGGTTCCAGCCCGCCCAGGGGGGATATCCAACATGCGGTCGTCTGGGGCGCCAGCGAGGGACAACCATGTTAGATACCCCCCTGGCCGACCTGGGCACGTGAAAACAAGCATTTCGCCTGAGACATCCTTTGAATTCTGGCACCCCACGAGGCCCCCGCTCGAGACATCCCCCAACTCTGCAAAACCAGCGTTTCGCTCGAGACATCCTCAACAAAGTATGACAATCAAGCGTTTCGCTCGAGACATCCTCAAATTTTAATCAGCCGGCCCACCTCGACCTCGATAATCATCAGGAGAAGAATCCGCCGGCCCACTTCAGTCATGGCAGGGGGGACAGTTGACAAACTAAAAGAAAACCCTTGGCCCACGCCCTTTCCGGAGAAAACACATGGGATTTGCAAAATTCCAAT